AACAAGGACTTCAATGGGTGCTCTGTTAGGACCACAATCTTGTGCGCCTGAAAATAATGGTTCAACTTCTTTGAAGCCATTACTAAGGCCAGCATTAATTTTTCTAGCGGCAGATACCTTGTTTCTGCATTGGCCAAGGTTTTACTTACATAATAAACCGCCTTTTGCTCTCCTTTTTCTTCTCGGATTAGTACTGCACTTACTGCGTGTTCTGAAACTGCCAAGTACAAAAACAGTTCTTCTCCTGGTTCTGGATTGGAAAGAACCGGAGTTGTGGTCAAGTACTTCTTCAAGTCAGTCAAAGCGGCTTCGCATTCTTCTGTTCACAGAAAGTCTGTGGCTTTTTTCACCAAGTTGAAAAAGGGTCTGCATTTATCTGAGCTTTTGCTGATGAATCTGTTTAGGGCTGCGGCCCTTCCAGTAAGCATCTGAACCTGTTTTGCCGACGTCGGGCTCTGCAGCTCTAGGATGGCCTTGATTTGGTCTGGGCTGACCTCAATGCCCTTTCTTGTTACCAGATACCCTAAAAACTTGCTTGATCCAACTCCAAACGCGCACTTTGATGCGTTGAATCGGAGCCGGTATGTTTTGAGTATATCAAAGACCTCTTTTAGGTCAGCAAGATGGCCCTTAGATTCCTTGGTCTTCACGACCATGTCATCGATGTAGACTTCTACTGTTTTGCCAATTAGGTGCTTGAACATTTTTGTTACTAACCTTTGGTAAGTTGCTCCTGCGTTTTTCAACCCAAAAGGCATTACCTTGTAACAGTACAAGCCTTTAGGGGTGATGAACGCAGTCTTCTCCTCGTCTGGTGGGTACATGACAATCTGGTGGTACCCCCTGTATGCATCCAAAAAACTCATCCTTTCATGCCTTGAAGTTGCATCTACTAGCTGGTCAATTTTGGGCAAAGGAAAGCTGTCTTTGGGGCAGGCTTTGTTGAGGCTGGTAAAGTCTACACAGACCCTCCATTTACCATTCTTCTTTTTCACTACTACTGTGTTGGACAGCCATGTCGGATAGTGAACTTCTCAGATGGCCCTGGCTTCCAGAAGTTTGTCTACTTCTTATTCTACTGCTTCGACGTGTACCAACGTCGGTCTTCTGGCTCGTTGAATTACAGGTTTTGCCGACCTGTCGACATTCAGTCTGTGGCAAGTGACCTCGGGGTCAATGCCAGGCATTTCATAAGGTGTCCAGGCGAACACCTCAATGTTGGCTCTCAACAAATCTTCCAGTTCTCTTTCCTCTTCTTCGGCTAAGCCTGAACCGAGAAGAAAGAAACGTTCTTCGTCGCCCTCCTGGACTAGGATTTTCTTTAGTGTCTCTTCACTCTTTTTGGTTGGCTCCTTGCCGACATCATCTAGGACCTCCATGTCCTCGTCTTCAATCTCTGCCTCTTTTGGTTCTCGAATGTTGCAAGTAGACTTCGTTGCTGCCATGGAGCAACTTTTTGCCTGCAGTTGATCTCCTCTGACTTCTTCAATTCCATGCTCTGTGGGGAACCGTAGTAGTTGATGCAATGTTGAGGGAACTGCCCCCATTGCGTGCAACCATGGTCTTCCCAAAATGATGTTATATGGTGAGGGTGTGTCAATCACCATAAATTCTGTTTTGATCTTCTTAGTACCAGCTTGTACTTCCACGCTTGCTGCGCCCAGTGGCCATGTCGGCGTTCCATTGAAGCCGACCATAGGGTTGCTGGAATGTTCCAGGTCGTCAGGATGAAGGCCTAGCTCCTTGTAACATCTGATGTACATGATGTCACAAGAGCTGCCTTGATCTATTAGGATGCGTTTTACTTGGCATTCCCCAACCTGGAGGGATACTACCAAGGCATCATTATGCGGATGCTGGACCATCTCTAGGTCGTCTTCAGTGAAGGTTATTATTGGTCCTTGGCTTTCTTCTGGCCGAGGTCTTTTTTCCCCGATTTGGTAGACATGCTGTAAATGCCTTACCCTCTGGGTCTCTCCTCTGACTTCGTTCTCGTTGACCCTTGAGTGGATCACATTAACTACCCTTGGCCCTCCTACCTGTGGTTGCTGTGCTGGAGGTGGTAGAGCTGCTGGTGCTTGAGGCAATCTTGCCTGTTCTTCTCTTGTCCTGGCCTCATCAATAAGGTCCCTCAGATGGCCTTGTCTTACCAAGTCTTCTAAGTGTGCTTTTAGGGCTCTGCAACCTTGAGTTGGGTGTCCTTCTTCATTGTGGTAAGCACAACGCCTACCAACGTTTTTTCCCATGAATTCCCCTGGTGTTCTTACTGGAGTTCTGAAATAGGGTTGGTTTCGTATCTGATCCAAGACTTTATGGATAGGGATTCGGAACACCGTCGTTACTGCCTGTTTACCCTTCAATTCTGTTTCTTGTTTGGTTGGCCCGTTGTTACCTCGGCTTCGCTTTGGCGAGCCGTTTCCTTTCTCCTGCTTTATCTCTTTGTTTCCCAGTGTATCTTCCTCGGCTCTGGCGTACTTCTCGATTCTCGCCATGAGTTCTTCCATGCGTTTTGGCAGTGTTTTTGCCAAAGACTTCCGTAATGGGCAGTCATCTTTCAGGCCGTTCTTGAAAGATACGACCGCTACTTCTTGGTTACATTCGGGTATTCGATTGAACACCTCGTAGTACCTCTTCGCGTATGCCCTAAGGCCTTCTTCCTTGGTGATCTTTAAAGCCATCAAGGCATCGACCCTCAAGGGCTGTAGTTTGTTCGTCACAAACCTGGCCACAAACATCTCGGCCAGGCCTTCCCATGTCTTTACGCTTCCCTTTGGTAGTTTATGGAACCAATCAGACGCAATTTCCCCAAAGGATGAGGGAAATACTTTGCAGAGCAATGGCTCGTTCCCATTGTATAATGCCATTGAGTTCGGGTATAGTCCAACATGAAAGTTGGGGTCTAACTTACCATCATAAATTTGGAACCTTGGCATACTGAATCTCTTTGGTGCTTCAAATTTGTCAAGTTCCACCGAGAATGGTGTTCTCGGCTTAACTTTGGAAGTCACCTCGGCTTCAGCATTCTGCTGCCTCCTTTTGAAGTAGTCCCTCAAGTCTTCCTTACTCCTACCTGGAGCTCGGCTATCTCTGGACTTCAATCTTTTTGGCACACTACTTTCGGCCTCGTGGTGGGCCCGTTTCGATCTTTCTCCATGGGTTGTGTCAAAGTAGAGTGCTTGCCCTTGAACATGGCGATGTTCTTTGGGCGCTGGATCCTTCATGCGATGTGTCCTTCGGGACTCTTCTTGCCTTGGTTCCTCTCGTCCGACTTCCATGGAATGTCGGTGAGAGTGGCTTCCACTCCTGGTGTGCTGAGGGGCTTCGGGGATTGCTTTTCTTCCTCCCTTCTGGGTATTAATCGCTGGCATCGGCGTATCTTGCAGTGGGTATGGTGGCTGCATAACATTGTTTTGCATCATGAAGTTGACCACTGACTGTAGGTCTGCCAGCTTGTTTGCCAAGTCTTTTACTTCTTCATTCCTTCGTAGGCACCTATCCCTCCAAACCTGAAGGTTATCTTCGTTGTAGTACTTGCTTTGGTTTGTCCTTTTTGAAGCGTCGCCCTCCTGGCCGACGTTTTTTTCTCCATGGCCCTGGTCATGATTTTCTGTACTGTGGTTGTCTCCTTCAACGTCAAGGTCGATTGGTCTACCACTCCCAGCAGGAGTTTCGCCCCCAATGTTTTTCCTTTGTCCGTCACTGGCCATCTATTCTTCTAAGATTCCCACAGACGGCGCCAAATTGTGTGGGTAATTTTCTTACCACACTGCCCGCCTAGTAATCAGCTGGAGAGCATTGGCAGAATAAATGGCTTTAGTAAACCTGTAACAGAAAGAAAAAGGCTCCGGCAGTGGCTCTTCCACCCGGGGGCACTCCGATGATCAAGTCAGTATATCTCTCAAAGATAATCAAGTGTTAAACTCACAAGCTTGAGTATAAAACTGTGTACCTTAGACCCATGGGGGTGCCTCTCTTTTATAGTTAACTCAATCCAAGTCCCACTAGAAGCATGACTTCTATAGACTTTAATTCAGTGCTTACTTAGGATTTCTCAAGAGATAAAGATAAACTCCCTAAGAGCTTTATCCTTATCTTGGCTAAGTCCCCTCTTTGTCCTAGGACTCTTGTCCCTTATCCGCTTATCTCGGATTCCGATATCTTCGGAGGTAACCTCGGCAATTCCGCGATCACCTCGGCGTGACTTCCACGACACGTGACACTTCGGCTGACACGTCGGCGTCACCATGCTATGTGTTGGTACTTAGAAAATATATCCCCACACTTGCTATTCATCTTTTTAACAGAATTGTAACCCGATCGAGTAACCATCAAGATGCAATCAACCTAAATCGCCAAAATAAAACCAAAATATGCCTACAACTATGCACAACCAGTCCAATTTTTTAAACTGGGGACAAGCCCCCTCTTTGATTAAATGAAATTTTGGCTTCGCAAGGATGTAGTTTTTAGGTAAATTACACTCAACTTCTCTGAGGTTTGGAAAATTTATTAATTAGATTCATATTTTTGACATAGTGATATTGCTTGAAGTTTAAATTCACACAACAGTTAGACCTTTTTTAATTAACAATTTGTTAGTCATATGTTGTTGTTGTTGTTTTTTTTTTTATATATTTATTTCAGTATTTACCCACTATTTGCATTAGTTTTGGTCCTCTTAATCCTACTAAAAAAATGTCAATGCAATTATCTCAAAAGTGTGGACTTAATTATATTTTTCTCAAATCTTTGGAGATACGACTATAGTTTACCGTAATTTTTATATGACCATTGAATCAGAAGAATTGATTGGAGAAATTATCACTATAAGAAAAGCCCTTATAAAACACGGAACTTATTGTGACAGCGTGTATCCCGTTGCAAAAAATGACCTTTTGCGATGGCATTTGAAACCGTCGTAAATAAATATCTTCTGCTACGGTAGTTACCCTGTTGCTAATAAGGTATACAAGAAAAGGTGTCTTAAATACGGAAGTATTCGCGGCGCTATGTGTACTGTTGCAAAAAGAATTTTTTTAAGACAGGAGAAATTTACCGTCGCAAATAGTAGACAATTTGTGACGGCAATTGTCCGTCATAAAAAAAAAACCCTTATTAAAGCGTCGTTTTACCTATTAGATATATCATTTGTGACGGTTTAACTATATCGTCGCAAAAAGTATGAATTATTTTTGATCCCCCTCCCCTTTAGCCCATTGGCGCTCAATCGTTTCCCCCAAAATCCCTAAAACTTTGAAGCAAGATCATTTTCCCCCAAAATCCCCAAAATCCCTAAGATAATTTTCCCTCAAAACGCTCAAAATCCCTAAAACTTTGACGGTAGTTTCTTGACGAGCGACGACGACGAGTGTTCACCGACGATCTCTCTCTCGACGAGGGACGACGGCTAGCAGTCTCAATCGCTCTCGACGACGGCTAGCAGTGATGCTGTGACGGCGTATTACGATCTCTCTCTCTGCGACGGCTAGCGGTGGTGCGGCGTCTCTGTCTTTCTCTCGCGCGAGCTCAGTCAGTCTCAATCGCTCCTCTCTCACTCACTCAGCGAGTGACGCCTGTATGCTCTCTCTCTCCCTCTCTCTTTCTCACACATACACACACACACACACACACACACAAATGAACCCATAAAAGGGTCTTTAGGGTTTGGTACCAGAACTTCATTCGCAGTTATAAGTGCATCCATTTCCATTTGTCTGTAATGTGAGCATTGATCTTACAAATGTCATATGCTTTGCTGTAGTTATAAATCAGCCTTGTCATTGGCTTACTGTTAATGGTGCAATCTTTTGATTTTTCCAGAAATATGTCTATTTCTTCATATTTAGATGCATTTATACATATTTATGTTCGACTGTTGCCCTGTGCTTCTTCATGATTCAATAATTTAGAGGAAAGCAAATTTTTATTGCCAACATTTTCTGAAGTCTATGGTTTGAAGTTGGATTTTTGTTCCAACTGGAGGAAGAAAGGGAAAGAAAAAAAAAAAAAAATCATTGATTGCCCATGTTCTATTATTGCTTGAACAATATTTGGTGACTTAATGGTTATCACGCTTGATGTTGTTCATTTTGTAGAATGAAAAATTGAAATATCAGAAAGAATATAAGGAGTCATTGAAGAAGCTTGAGGAGCAATGGCCAAAAGAGCAAGATGGTGGCCTCGTCAAGACATCGAGGGAAGAGGTATCGAGTTCCATCATTATATAAGTATTATGGTTTGTGTTGTTGGTACTAAACATATCTTATGTTTTCTTGCTGGTTCATCACTTCTATGCATAATAACTATGCCGTTTTACATGTAATCCTAATGTGCAAAATGTTTTAAAATTTTCCTTTTGACAGTTAATTGTCTCCAATGGACTCATCTTAGTAGTGCGCCTCTTCCTTCTAAAATCTCTCCCTTCTTCGTCACTAAAGAGATGTTATACAAGTGAATAAATATTATGGATATAGACTCTCATCTAGAATAGCATCATGGTCTAGAGAATTTCTACTTTTACAATAGTTAACCTCAAGAAAGAAACCCTTTACTTTGCCAATGAACACCATGTTTTTAATTTGCAATTTCGTAGGAAAATTTCTCTTGGGCCCTATCTATGTTGTTAGATTGCCTTATTTGTTCTGCCCAACTTTTCTAAAGTTTCCAGATATTCTAGCTTTAAATTTTCAGCTTCATGATTTTTCAACTATATTTTATCAAAAGGAACGTCAACTTTCTGAAAGATGAGAAGACTTGTTTTCTTTGTTAAGACGACTCATTTGTATACCTTTTCCATCAGGTTGTGACATTTATACAACTGTGTAACATTATATTCTTATTATTGTTTTATCCACTTCTATATGGGGCTCCAAAGGTCACATGCTTACATTTGGCTAGTCAAGGTTGACACCTGGGTCATGCCTCCAACTCCAATGGATTAAACTAATGGTTAACTTATACTACAATTCCCTTGGCAATGACCACCTAGTGTTTTCCTTTGTGATACACATATTCCTGCAGTGTCCTCTGTTGAGGAAGTTGTTGGGGTTAAAAATTTGCTTCAACATGAGAAACTTTTAAGGAAGTCTGCAGAAAAGGAAGTCAATAATCTTAGGAATCAATTGCTGCAATGGAAAAGGACAGAGGTATGGTTTTTATGCTTCCATGAATGTCTTATTTCAGCATCATTTGTTTCTTTTCTTTTTTTTTTCCTCTTCTTTTTTGCATCTTTTGTAGCATGGTTGTCAATCAATATAACTAACCAATCCTGTTGGATTACTGTTGATGGGGTCAAAAAGGAGTTTGTTGAAAAAATATGGAAGATTAGAATTTTAGTTTATTTGTGAGTTTAATTTATTAATGAAGTTGAATTTGTGTAGGATTTTATTTCTTAGTTTAAATTTGTTTCCAAATTGGAATTTATTAATTTGGTTTGCCTATATATAGGGCTTTGGTGTAATGAACTATCAGTTTTGGGCATTGATTGAATATTGAAGAACTGATATTGAATTGGGAATGTGTCCCCCATTTCTTATCTTCTCTCTTTATTTTATCTTCTCTCCTCTTCTCTTCTAATCCTTCTTACTGTCACTTTGTTGGTCAACTAGGCAGCAGGGAATTCTGAGATCTCGAAGCTTCACAAGTTGTTGGAAGATGAGGTGCATCAGAAACGTAAACTTGAAGAAGAAATAGCTGTACTACAAAGTCAACTATTGCAATTAAGTTTTGAAGCTGATGAGGTACGCCATACAGTTCATAAATATGTTTATATGGTTTCTGATATTGTTAGTAGAAAAAGGATCTGTGAGTGATATTTCCACTTGAATCAGAGAATACTTTAGCTTTTGAAAGAGAGAGAAAGAGAGAGAGAGTCTTTTCCTGGATTCTTGAATATTTTATTTCCAACCTTTCAAAGTAACTAATTCTCCTGTTTGTATGAAATCAATTTCTAGATGTACAAAATGGTCAAGGACACTAATAAATTCCATTATGGTCAGTAGCATCAATTATTTAGGAAATGGACAACTTCTGTAGGAATTAGCCTTATCTGCTTGTCCTGTCTTGTATCAGAATATTATTTTCCTCCCAGTTAATTTTGTACAAAAAATTTTCTCATCATTTTATAATTATAAATAGGGAACTGATATTACTTTTGGACTGAAATGCCTTTCTTAAATATATATTTAATTCTAGTCATTGGCTAAAATTGAACGTTTGGTCAAATGCTGGTGTTCTCAAACCATTATGTAGAAAATTTAAAAATCCAGAGGCTTTTGGTGACTGTTGTTCACTTGGACTTGAATGCAAATGGATCTATCTTCCTTGTCATTAGTGAGACAACCTTTGAGGGAAAAAAGGACAATTATAAACAGTAGAGTTTGGATACTTGTTGTTCACATCCCATGATTATTTGTCTAGTCTCACTGTGATGACCGGTCATGTTATTCATTTGTTCGTCTTTGTTTAACCTCGGTTTACGATTGTTATAGCGTCGGATTTTAGTGTAAGGTTTTGGTTTGACCGTTGGATTGTTGTTTTGAAAACTTTTTCTGAAAGATTTTCATTCTTATTTATTGTTATTGCGAGTTTCACGTGTTTAGGAAGGTGCGGGTTGGATTCGGAGTGCCCGGGGTTGAGCTGGAGATTTTCTGGGCTAGAGGACTGAGCTGCACCGCACGTGCGGGAGGTGAGGCCGCATGTGCGGGAAACATGGGAGTTTCTGGGTTGCATTCTGCTTAAAAGGCAGGTGTGGAGAGGAGGTGCGGGAGAGTGCTGCACGTGCAGGAATCAGTGCCGCACGTACGGGAAGCACGCTCCGCACGTACAGGAGCAAGTGCCACACGTGCGGGACGGGTTGAGTCTGAAAATCAGTTTTTCTTCTTTCATTGGGCTGTGTGTATCTCATTGTTTGTATGTCACTCTCTCTCTAAAAAGCCTTTTCTCCTCCTTCTCTTTATATTTCCTACATCAGCACCCACTCAATTTTTGATTTCTCCAAATCCATAAACATTTTGACCTTAGTCCCTTGATTAAAGTTGGATAATCTCTCGAGGACTTCATTGTGTGCGGTGAAGATCATGTTTCAACACCGTCGATTTTAAGGGTTTCATCTCATTTTCTTCTCCGAGCTTGAGGTAAGGACTTCTTTGAGTTATATATATGTTTTTGCAAGGTTGATATTAAATTTGGAGTTTTCTTAATGTTAATAAGAAAGTTATGAATTTCAAAAGTGGGTTTAACCTTGTTCCTTTTAAATGACCTCTTGAGGGTTTGAATCACTTTGGGTGTGGGATGATGTTCTCTTTTTAGGGTTTCTTTCAAGGGTTTGGGTATGTGTGTTGTTGTTGTAAGGAAAAACCTAGAAATTTGGGGGTTTTTAAAAGAAAGAAGTTGAGGATACATGGTGGATATGGTTAATATATATATATATATTTTATGTGCCAAGATGAGTAAAGAAAATGGAACATTTCTTGATTTCATACAAATACGCACATAGATGATGGGTTTCATAACATATGAAAATTGTTGAGATTGGAAGTTGTTGTCCAAATATTGTAATAGTCTTGAAATGACTAAGATGCTGGGAATGTATGAATTATGGAAATATTGTTATATATTGATGAGTTGTAGTGAACATTTTGGCTATTTTGTGAAACGGTATTGAAATGAGAAAAATGGGAATTTGATCACAAATGAAACATTTGTGTAGAAGTTTGATGAATGGAAGGACATTGCATTTCATGGTTAATTCTTGCATTGCATGGATAATAATTGCATTAACATTTCAATACTATGTTTGTTATAAATATTGATTGGGGTTTGAATACTTACATTAAGAATGAAATGTTATAATAATAAAAAAATGAGATTTGTTGAAATATTTTTGGGTAAATACGTTGGTAAATCCAGATAGGAGGTGTAGATGAAATTGATTAAGTTGGCCTGAGTGTCTGGGGTGAAAGACCAAAAACACGCGCGGAGGAGGTATCACTTCCCTTCCGGTTAGCAACCGGTAAAGTGGGGTTTGGTAGTGCTAGTTAAGCCTACTTGTAGACATCAATCTAGGGATTACCTGAATCGTATTTACCACCCCATTGAATTAAATTGTAAATTTTTGAATCGTTGAGGTTTCAAGTTATCATTATGCATGGTGGTTTTCAAAAGATGTAAAAGAAATCTTTTTAAGGCATAACATGGCATATGCATTTCATATTAGGGATCTTGCATAAATGTATATACTTTGTTAAGAATTCTCTACTGGACTTTAAGCTCACCCCTATGGGATTTTGGTGCAGGAAAAGATGTGGTGATCTCGCCGAGTTAAGGGCGTGGACATATTTTGTGGAGAGTAAACGACTCTCATTTTGTTGTGGTTTATTTTGCTAGCCAAGGGCTATAAGTGTATGGGTTCGTGAAACCATTTTTGTATAACCGGGTTTCAGCCTTGGAATATGTAAGCCCTTAAGGGCATTTTATTTATTTTTGAGATTTGATGTTCTACATGCTATAGATTCATGTATTTGATATCATTGAATGTATAATTCGCATGTGGGACTATTTTGTATAAATCTTATCGATTAATGATGTAAAGGATGGAGAATTGCTATTGTTTTTTAATGAATGTTGGTTGATGTACCTTAATTATATTGGAATATTTTGGGGTGTTACACTCACTCATTGTTAGAAAGGTATATCTATTTTTGTTTAGATTACATAAAGTTAATGGGAGGTTGTATTTGTAATATCACGTGGATGCGAACAGAAAGTATCCTAAATTTGTTGCGTGAGGAATAATGATTTCAATTCTTAATCATGTTAACTAGTGAATTTGGATGTTTGAGAGTTCACAAGTTTGCCATTCAGCCATTAGGAGTCTTGGCAAATAAACAGTCCCTAAAGGCGCTGTATTTTTGGCATTTTCCACGCATAAACACATGAATTTTTGGCATGTATGTGTATTGCTATGACAACCAATTTGAATATCAAAACATGCGTCTTTGTTAGACAAGAAGAAGACCTGATGTTAGAGCTGGGAATGTTCCCAGTGATTTCGATTCTCTCATTTCTCAAGTTAGGCATCCACAACTGAGAGATTCAGGAGATGGGGAGAAGGCCTCAATAGCAAAACTCTTTGAACAAGATGGTGGACATGAGACTCCATACACACCACCACTAGAAGATTAGGTATAAAATGTATATTTGCATTCTAAGCTAAGAATAACCATACATTAACTGTACACAATCCAAAATTATAGAGGCTAATTCTATAATTAGAAAGAAAGACAAAGGATTTTCCATTGTTAGCACGAAACTCGGCACACACGACCGCTTAGGCACGAGAGACTTGTGGGAGAAGATGGGACTCGAATCGGATTCCCGGTTTGGGAGTTAGAATCAGATTTCACTCTAGACAAACTAGTTTCTTAAGAAACTTAGAATTCGAGGTGTTGACGCCTCAAAATCATCAAACGGCGTCGGAGTAACACGAAACATGGCACACACGGCCGCCTAGGAACGAGAGACTTGTGAGAGACGGGACTCGAATCGGATTCTAGATTTGGGAGTTAGAGCCGGATTTCACTCTAGACAAATTAGTTAAAACTTATAATAGGAGGTGTTCACGTCCCAAAATTACCAAACGGGGTCAAAGTAGCGCGAAACTTGGCACACACGACCGCCTAGGCACGAGAGACTTGTGGAAGAAGACGGGACTCGAATCGGATTTTCGGTTTGGGAGTTAGAGCCAGATTTCACTCTAGACAAACTAGTTGAAACTTATAATTTGAGGTGTTGACGCCCCAAAATCACCAAAACGATGTCGGAGTAGCACGAAACTTGGCACACACGACCGCCTAAGCACGAGAGACTTGTGGGAGAAGACGTGACTCGAATCGGATTCTCGGTTTGGGAGTTAGAGTCGGATTTTCACTCTAGACAAATTAGTTTATTAAAAAACTTAGAATTTGATGTGTTAACGCCTCAAAATCACCAAACAGCGTCCAAGTAACACGAAACTTGGCAAACACAACCGCCTAAGCACGAGAGACTTGTGGAAGAAGACGGGACTTGAATCAGATTCCCGGTTTGGGAGTTAGAGTCGGATTTCATTTTGGACAAATTAGTTTCTTAAAAAACTTAGAATTCGAGGTGTTAATGCCCCAAAATCATCAAACAACGTCGGAGTAGCATGAAACTTGGCACACACGACCGCCTAGGCACGAGAGACTTGTGGGAGAAGACGAGACTCGAATCGGATTCTCAGTGTGGGAGTTAGAGCCAGATTTCACTATAGACAAATTAGTTTCTTAATAGACTTAGAATTCGAGGTGATGACGCCCCAAAATCACCAAACGGCTTCAGAGTAGCACAAAACTTGGCACACATGACTGCCTAGGCACGAGAGACTTGTAGGAGAAGACGAGACTCGAATTGGGTTCCTAGTTTGGGAGTTAGAGCCGGATTTCAAGCTAGGCAAACTAGTTCCTTAAGAAACTTATAATTCGAGGTGTTGATACCCTAAAATCACCAAACGTCGTCGGATTAACACGAAATTTGGCATACACGACCGCCTAGGCACAATAGACTTGTGGGAGAAGACGAGACTCGAATCGCATTCTCGGTTTGGGAGTTAGAGTCGGATTTTAGTCTTAGCAAAATTATTTACTTAATTATCTTTATAATTGTATAGTAGTTAAATTTTTACATTTTTTTGTAATTAACATATTAACACATAATTATATTGTCACTAATTATTTTTATTTTTTGTTTTCAGATATTTTTCGAGTAGGAGTTTGCTTCTTGTGGAATGCATGTCTGTGAAAAATGCAATTGACTTTTGTTTTTGTTACCCATGGAAAATGATGAGGAAAACTTTTAATTTTGGTTAATGTTATTTTGAATTATGAACAACTTTATATATTTAAACATTATAAATGTATTATGGAACATTATGTAGTGGGGTTATTTTGTTGATGTGTAATTATGAATGCAAGAATGTTTTTATTATGGATATTTCTATGGATGCAATTATTGGTTTTTAAATTTTTTTTTTTGGTGACGGCACCACACTGTTGCAAAAAAAAAAAAAAAAAAACACAATTCACGACAGCATTACTTGCGGTCTCAAATAAGACTTTTAGCGACGGTAAAACAGTGCCGTCGCAAAAAGGTCTCACTTTTTTTCATTTTATAGGCGACAGTAAAATGCCGTTGCAAAAAGCAACAATTGCCATCGCAAAAAAAAAGGTGACAGCATAAAAAGTTTTTGCAATGCCCTCTATTGTGACCCCTCTTTGCCGTCGCTATAAGTTTTTTGAGACAACATTTGGAGTATTAGCGACGGTATTTTGCTGTCGCAAAAAACTTGAATTTTTTGTAGTGTACAAATCAGTGGGATAATAAATAAAAAAAATAATTACACTATAGATAAAATCTTTTTTTTTATGCATTCTGACACACATGAAGGATTTACACCATACATACAAAAAATTTACATAACCATAAAAGTACAAATATTTTTTTTACTTTCTCACTGATTTGTAATTTTCCCAATTGATTTTTAGGTATGAACGATTGATAGATTGATGCGTTTAAATATGCACATTTGAATTAGTTTTCGGGCAGACAGTGATTGATAGGTATATACATGCTTGTAGTTGGATGAAAATTACATTTTTATTTTTTTAGTTTGGATCTGATATGAAAATTAAATTAAGAAGTTGTATCATTGGCGTTGTTTTCAATTCAACCATTAATTTCTAAAAAACATTAAATAAAAAATAAATTCAACCAGCCCATTTTATAAAGAGAGAGGCACTCACATAAAACCTAGCTCTGTTTCTTTTTCACCTTAGAAGTTTTGGGTCAAGGACCCACAGATTAATGCAAACAAACAAAACACACAAGAGAGAAACACCCAGAGATTTACGTCGCTTCGGCAATAGCCTACATCTACGGGTAGCGGAAATTCTATATATTTTGGAGAGATACAAATTCACTCTGTGTTTCTTCACTACTCTCTACTTCTTCAATTTAATATTTGCATATCAAAATATAATAACTTACTTATCTATTTATAGGCTTCCATCGAGGGTGAGATGCGTAGGCGGTGACAGCAATTTCACCACGTTTCGGACGTGTTCGGAAGGCTTCCATAAATGACTTTCATAGAGCTTCAATCCAAGATTTAGTTTGTTTCTTGGTTCTAGATCATTCAAGGAGCTTCCATCTTCAAGCTAGAGAGAGAAATCATTCTTCTTTCTTCTTGGTGAAATAGAGATAAGAGAAGCTTGAGCCAATTCCCCACAAGAAGTGGAGAAAGATTAAAGTCCCATATGGTTATGTTTACAATTTTTATTTATGATTATAAAATTTTAAATATTAGATTAAAAATAAAATAAAAAATTCATTACAAAAAAAATGTAAACTATTTACAAAATTTACTAAATTATAGTAATTTTCACTTATTGTCAAAATAAGGTGTGTTTTTTTTGTTATTTTTGGTGCTAAAATAGCCACACACACATTATAATAATAATGATGATGATGATGATGATGATGATGATGAAAAAGCCACTAAAAAAAGTAAAACTCTCAGTAATTTATAATTGTTTTATACAATTACATAAATTTATTTTCAAACACATTAATTTTTTTTTACACCTCATAAAAAAGCTATAAAAATAAAAAGCCACTAAAAAAATTGATTCCCAAATGAGGCTTGAATTTTGTTCCTTCCTCACTCCCTTACCCTGTCCGGACAACACCTATTATTCATCACCACTACTGATCACCCCTACCTTTGGCCACTCCCACCTTCGATCACCGCCACAAGCAACCACAACTATTGGGCAGCCTCCATCTCTAGCCATTGGTCACCACCTTCGATGACTCCCACCTCCAACCCCAACAACCACCTACGAACACTAACCCCCCTCTCATTTGTTTTCAATTTTTTTTTTAAAAAAAAGATATAAGTATCCAACATATTATTATTAATTTTTTTTGAATTTTTGGAAGAAATTATGGAATGAACAGCTGGGCATGCTTAGAGGGTCCAAAGTAACAAATATACATACACGCATCACGATCATGGAAGAAACCAAAAGAGTGGCCCAAGGTCAATGGTGGGCTGTTGGGCCCACAAACTCATTGGATAGCAACTTTTTATGAGCGTCCACTAGTGGATAGTATAGTCTGACCCAAATACAAAATGTTTGGTTGACCAAGGAGAGTCTAGTTGTGAATAATTACAAAAATTATTGATGTATATAACTATATGCAAAAAAATTTAGAGTTCTCAGTGGAATAATTAAAAATAATTAAAATTGTGGTTACGTTTTCATTCTTTTCATATAATTTTTTTTTCTTTTTTGGGATTGGAATAATTTTTGAAAATTCAAAAATATATTTTTTGGTATTTTTGTCACTAATTTCTATTTTTTTGAAAAAAAAATTAAAGAAATCAAAAAATTCAATCAAACAAAACTTTTATTTATATTATTTCTGTAATTATAAATACACAAGACATGAGACAAACACATTCTAAGAGAGAGAAAAAAAAAAAAAAACTCATACTATGACTTTTATATGCCTTAGATTAAAACATAATTCTTAAGTTGCTTCCCATACGAAAC